GTCTCCGGCCGGTCCTGGTCTCGCTGCTGACCGCGGCGGTTCCTCCGTGCGCGGGGGGGAGCAGGCGCTGCCGCCCGAGAGAGCGAAAACGCAAAGCAAAAGCCGTAATTTGGTCTTGGGCAGTAACGGGGAGTAATTTAGTTGTTTCTCTTTTCAGGTATCGATTTTAAAATTAGAACTATAGAGCTAGACGGCAAGAGAATCAAACTGCAGATATGGTAAGGCTTGTCTCCTCGAGTTGGTGTCCGATAACCGGGTGTCCGTGCGGTGGGCGGTGCTGTTGTTGTCCGGCCTTTACTCCAGTTGTGCTTTTCAGCACTTTACGATACCATAGAAATGAAAAGATCGTTTGAGCGCATCTAAAGACTGGTTCTACACTTTGCCTTGAGCGTGATGGCGTAGGTGTTTTGCCTGAGCCCCCGTGTTCTGTCTGTTGCAGGGATACTGCCGGGCAGGAGCGATTTCGGACGATCACAACTGCCTACTACAGAGGAGCGATGGTAGGAGCGAGATGGGTGACACGGCAGCTCACCGGGGGGGGTCAGCTGTCATGGCTGGATCAGACGGGTTTGATGTGGAACGCACACAACCGTCCCGCTGCCGGGTGGAAACTGCCCTGCTCAACACGGGGAGCGGTGCTGGAACCATGGGGCAGCACCTGGGACAGGTTCCCTCGGCAACCCGTGCTGTAAATACGCGTCTGCACACCTTATCTTGCAAGGCACAGACTGTGATTTAACGTTACATAGAATTATGAACCAACTGTTCTAAAAATACTCTTTGTTAAATTGCTCCTTTCTGCTATGGATGAGTCTTTAACTCTTGCTTAAACTGACGCTCGCTGAAACAATCTGTCTCCTTCTTAATCTTTAGGGCATTATGTTAGTATACGACATCACCAATGAAAAGTCTTTTGAAAATATTCGGAACTGGGTCAGGAATATTGAAGAGGTAATTTCTTTATTTACTTACTAAAGCTGCTGTTTTTTCCTCCAAAGGTAGTTGAAACTTACTCGCTTCAGAAGTTTCTTCTGAATTTGTGTGCTGAAGGAAACTTGGAAAATAAGTTGAATGAAAGTCAGTAATACCTTCTGGAGTGTCTTGGTAACCGTCACTGGTTGTGCTGGCACACAGAGAGTGCCAGCTGGGGGGACTGCAGCCCTTCTAGTGACGAGGGGACCTCAAAGTTGATGTTTTCTTGCCGTGACAAGTGATGCGAGAGCTGTCCTTGTGCAGGACACACGCTGGGGTTTGCAGAGCCCGTAGACCTGCTGGAGATGCTTAGCACTGGCATCTCGCTGTGATGCGCTTGCCATGTGCCTCATCTTTCTGACAATATTTGTCTAAAAACACCCGAGCTAAACTCCTTGCGTTGATCTGTTTCTATCTCAGCACGCGTCGCCAGATGTTGAAAAAATGATCCTTGGGAACAAATGTGATGCAAATGACAAAAGACAAGTTTCTAGAGAGCAAGGGGAGAAGGTGAGTGCCGCAGCTTTAATGTATTTCAACTCAGACTTTTCAGAGCACAAAAATTGCCTTTGTCACTGTTTGGGTGCCCCTTTGGCACTTCAGTGGTACTCCTGAGCGGAACTATTGAACGTTTCCCAAGCTGAAGCTGCAATCCATTTCCCCACTCTGATTAAAAAAAAAAACAAGTCTGTGTTAAGAATTCTTATTGATTATCTGATCAATATGTGTTAGGTGCAAAGCAAGGAGTTGGATTTTTTTCATAGAAAAAAGGAAGAAAAAGCATGCTAGAGTTTGACATTTAGGAAATGTCTCTTTCTGTCTGAAAGGCACTGAAATAAGGCAGACAGGATTGTCTTTTCTGGCACCACATGTTCCTTAGTCAAGGTAGAGAAGGTCTGTCTGCGCGCTGCCGATGTTACAAGACTGACAAGATCTATGCAAGGGAAAACTAAAAGACAAAGGAGCAGATTGAAATGTGCGCAGGGTATAAAACAGCAGAACAAAGCCCAGCAAGAATAGATGCTAATAGGAGTGAGATTTAGTTCCTAATTTTCACAAATTGTTCTGCTTGAGTAAATCCCCAAGTTGCTGTGACTGGCGCCGGGGGCAGATCCTGTGCAGTTGGCTGTATTGAGAGCTGCTCCCACCATTATCCAACTAACATGAAACCTGCTTTTGTTCAGCTTGCTGCAAGTTTCGGAATTAAATTTATGGAGACCAGTGCAAAAGCAAACATAAACATAGAGAATGTAAGTACTGCAACCTTTCTCTGCCATCTATTGTCTTATTGTGCAACTGAGCGGCCAGAACACTTGCCCGTCCTGGTTGGGTGCAAAACTCAGCTGGTGGGTACTGCAGATGGGTTATTTAGTACCTATCCGTGCATTCCACGAAGGCGTTGTCTAACTGATGTTATGCTAATTTATTTAAATTGAACTTGGTGCTTAGAGCATACTGCAAGGGTGTTGCAGCAGACTGCGTTACAGCAGTGCACTTAAAAACTCGGTTCCTGTCTTTGCATTCAATAACGTGGTTGATAAAGGGCGACGTTTTCCCACTCGCTGAAGCCTGGATGTGCCCCACTGTGGGCAGCACGTGCTTTGGGGTTCTCGGGCTCAGAAAGGAGGTAGCGGGGTTAGAAAAGGAGCATTAAAACCTCGAGCCGGGGGGGGAAGACCTGAAAATTTGACATTTTTCAGGAGTTCAGTATATGTAGAAACTTGGGAAGGCAGCTTATTGCTAAAAAAAATTATTAGAATGTATTTTATTAACTGAGTAACACTTCACTGTTTTACTTGTCACAGGCATTTTTCACACTTGCAAGAGATATCAAAGCAAAAATGGACAAGAAGTTGGTGAGTAACTTTACTTTGTCCGCGCTGTATTTAAATAGGAAAGAAAAAACCCAACCGAAAGCCAAATAGCAAGTGCTGTTTCGCAGTGTATAAAAAATATTTTGTGGTCTCTTTCATGGGGATGCACTGAGGGTTATAGAAGTTTATTTTTAATTTTGTCAAGCTACACTCCGACCTTGGCTTATAACTGTCTCTGCATTCCAGGAATTAGCTGCAATGGTTCAGGTTTTCTAAATAAAATTGTCTTTTATTTGTTTTATTGAAAGTTAAGTGAGTAGTAGAGCAGTTTAATGATATTTCTTGCTCTTGCAGTCTGAAAACCAGAATCATATAAATTAGACATTCAGGAGGCTCACTTCATCCTTCAGGGTAGTCTTCAAACTAGCGTGTTTAAAAATAGGTAAAGAGCTAATTTTTTTGCTAACTTTAGCAAAAGCGTCCTGAGAAATGATTGGGTTGTCTCTTGTACAACAAATAAATGTATATCGATGTCAGTTTGTTCCTTATGAAATGAAGCTAATGAAGATTCTTTCTACACTTACTGAGCATTCCACCTTCATGTGACCAGGCGCGTGCTGATAGAGCTGTGATATTTTGGGTCTTGCTGACGATTCCAAAGTGTTTCAGCAAGAGCCAAACATGTCCTGTAATCTTTCTTTTTAAAAAAAAAAAAAAATCTCTGCTGTCTTTGGGTTTATGGAAGGAAGAATAATAGACACAGTGTGTGTTAGTGGAAGCCAAAAGTGGCAGATGCGGTTTTCTGACTTCTCATAGTGGCTGACGTAGGGCTCAGCTGAGTGAGTGAAGACTCCTCTTGATTTTAGCAATGGGGTTTGTACATGGCAGGTTTGATTCAACAAAAGGAGTAGATGAAGTATAGATGCCAGCAGCTGTTAAGTATAAATAAGTAACGTAATATTCTTTGCGTCTTCAGGAAGGCAATAGCCCGCAAGGCAGCAACCAGGGAGTCAAAATCACACCAGACCAGCAAAAGAAAAGCAGCTTTTTCCGATGTGTTCTTCTGTGAGGGACACGGCCTTAATCTGAGCATCCGCTCGGCTGAACTGGACTGTGCCTGTTCTGAGTGAGATTTCCTCTGTCTGTGGACTTAGCATTTTCAACATACCTTGTCACTTTGTGACCATCTGAATAAGAAATTGTTTATTTTAGTAATTGTCTGACTCTTCAATTTTGGAGACGAAACAAGTTTATTTTTGTCAGGTTGCCACTGGGCATGTGTATTGTCTAGCAGAGGGAGTACAGATCAAACGTGACCTGTGATACAGCACCTTTGCTGACAGGCTTCGATCTTTTTGTTCGTATCTGTAATGTATCCAAATTAGAAAGATGAAGTTATGATCAAAAGAAGAAACTGAAATGCCAATATTAATAAACTACAGGTATGCGTACATGATACATGTGCATATCCATAGCGCATACAGATTGATGGCATCAGAACATCCCATCAGTGCACTTAGGTAAGCAGTACAGGCTTACACCTTTTCTGAAGGTAGAAGGAAGCTTTCTGCATCTCCACCTTCTTTGCTACTACAGAGAAAATCCTTTATCTGCCTGTTACTTCTTCAGTTGCGTTGTTCTAGACAATCCACAAGTACAATTGAAGTTTAAAAAAAATAATTCCTCCTCAAAGGAATCTCTATTTTTTAAAAAAACCAAAGTGTGCTGTAAATATAATGGATCCTTACCATCAGGAATTACTGTGTCCATGTTAGACTTGAACATGCTTAATTAAAGTACACCAGACGTGTAGACACGTTGAACGGGAGATGATAGCTACAGTGAGTCCCATGTGAACGATCTGTCGTCTGTTCTTAGAGAAACAGACCCTGGTTGGCACAGGGACTCTTACCCAAAATTTGTAACGTTACAGTGGGCGGCTTTTCCTTCTCCAGCTGAGAACGACTCCAGATCTGTCATGATGTAGAAGCTAGTTTTAAATTGTGACAAGAAAATGTATTGCACTGCTTCCAGTTGTGTGTTCTCATGCACACTTGCTCACATATGCAAATAAATGTTGCACATATGAACACTTTCTGAAAGCAAACTTTTTTAAACTGAGATTTGCCTTGCTGCTGTTTATTGATCATTTCAGATTTCAAGCAGCAACAGACCTATTAATAGCAGGCATCAATGCAAATGATGTTTAGTCCTCAGTGGAAATATTCCATGTATTTATTCCTATAAACACAGTCTATTACATTCCGATGTATAAAATGTAAGAGCCAAGTAAATCTCCAAGGGAGCTAATTGCCCTCCGTTCAGAGGCTGTAAGCCTGACTCTTAATTAGACTGACAAAAGGAGCCAGTAAGAGCCATCTACTTTAGTCTGATGTCAAGTGATTGGAATTATGGTATATTTAATTCAAATGAACATATCAGCTGTGTCCTGCAACTCACTGGAATTGTTAACATGCTTTGTTTACATTGACAACTGCACTTAAGGGTAAAATTAAAGCTGATTTTAAAGTTAATGAATTCACTCACCAGTTTTGTTTTCTTCAAGTTTGTGGTATTGTATTCTGGCCTCAAAGTAGCACTCGTAAGTATTACTGTAGTTAAAGATCTGTCAGATTCATAATTAAAGCTTATAAATCTGCAGCGTGCAATAGGGCTCAACAGGAATACTGCCTGTTTTTCTAAAATGGAAAAAGGAAATTTTACTGTATAAGTTACTGGTTTATAAAAATGCATTTTAAATACTACCAACTCTTTCTTTTTTTTTTAATAGCTAGCAGATTACATTGAGCTCTGTTCATGATTAAAATCATACGTAAAGCTTTCCTCTAACCAGAACCTTATGGTGGGGGCTTTTTTGTTTACTTGTGGCTTTTTAGCGTGAGGGCTTGGTGAACGTGCACCATAGTGGATTACACACAGCTGTATTTGTAGGATAAAATCCTGTTAAGCTACTGAAGAGCCTTCTAGTCAGTATATGCTTCAAAGCGTAGTTAATGCAGCGCTGTAGACAGGACAAGCATTGCTTCTGTCTTGAGACGGGGATGCTTTTAAAGAAAGGCTTTGTGTATGCTTCATGAAATTATTGAGGCAGAATTGGGGAGGTGAAGGCATGTTCTGAATGTTGTTTTCCTACACAAAACAGATCTGGTTTTGGCTTAGTAGTAAATGTGGATTGTTGTGCATCCATCCTTCTACTTTAACATAGCCAGATGTTGCAGCCAGACTTATTTTTCAAAGTGACTGGAAAAATAAGTGGTTAGACTAACTTGATATCACAGGCTGTCCACCACAATACTGAGTGTTGCCTGTTGACGGTGTCTAAATCGATAACTCGTCTAGAGATGAGAAAGGAAACCATATTAATCTACAAGGGATTAAAACTTGAAGGATGGAATTGTGTATTTCACTCCCCATTTTCTAAATCTTAAGATACTCTCTTTGCATTCAAAGCTAACTCTTTGTATGTGAATACCTTTTGTTTAAACTTACGCTGGCTGTTGCACATGTTTATATACCTAATTAATAGCATGATTTCCTCTTACAAAATGATTGGGTTTACTCAAGGAACAACTATATTATTGCCCGATCTCAGGAAGTTTCACGCACTTACTGTGACTACAGTCATCACTGTACTTCTAGGGTATACAGACTGTACACAAAAAATAAATCCATGTAAGCAATATGAAACTTAAAATGCAAATGTAAGACAAGAAAAGGTTAAAGACACTGCAGCTGCATGTATGCTTGGCTATGTGTCGCTAAATATGGACATCAGATCTTGGATAAGTACAATATGTAATTGAAGTTTCCATCACATAATTAAATTCCTGTGTTTTTTACATGAAAGTTATGGAAAACACAATGATCAAAAGAGGTACTGCCTAAATACATACAGTAATGTATTTATATGTAAGCTTTCTTTAACTAAGTAGTTAAAAATCTGAAATTGGATACAAAATTTGTAAAACAGGAATTTGAAGTAGATATGAAAAACTAACAATGTGCTTACTACACATTCTCAGTGTCTAAATGCCACTAAAATTTCAGGTAACCGATTAACACTTGGTTTGTAGAGAAACAAACCCATTTTTGAGCATGTTCTCAAGTTCCCTTACTTTAATGAGTATCATAGAATTCTGTGGTCGACCGTGTTTTTGAGGCTGGTTGCAATACTTGAGATAGTCTTCACCCTTTCGGGTGTAGACCTGTCAGTAGCTCGTCTGTCAATAAACGGTGGAACTGCTGTTGTAACACTTTGCCATTTTAACACTTAGGTTGTCTAGGTCCTATGCTGATAGGCACATCTAATGTTCCTTGACATCAGAGCCTTATGCCAGCATCAGACTTTCAGCCTCAGATTTATAAATCCTATGGATTATTGTAAGTCTCTTTACTGCTGCTGAAAATTATTTGGTGTCTCTCCTTTCATGTGAGATGCTAATCATCTCACTGACAATTGTTAAGGGTTTTATTGTTGTGGTGGCGGTGTCTTTGGCTGATGATCTTGCTCAAAAACTACCGTGGTTTCTTGTTCTCTTGGACTTGAAATGGCTGGTGTTTGTGCTGGAGAGGAAGTGGACAAACAGCTGCGTAGAGGATGGTCTCCATTTGTACTAGAAGTTCGTAGGGGTTGGGAATGAATGACGACTGACTTCTATCTTCATTTATAGATTAAATAAAGACCCGTTCAATTGAACGTTAATGGTAACGTGCAGTCTGATTATTTCAGGCTGCCTTATTCTTTGACCCGTCTCTTTCACTGATCATTGGAGTTTTTCTTTCTGTAGGTAATCCAAGTGTAGCAGGCTGGGCCCTCTAGCCTTTCTGGGGGAGTCATACGCTCTGCGTTGAGCGTGGGTTGGGACTTACGACTTTGTTTTGAAGGGAACATAATGCATCCCAATATTTTTAAAAATAACTGTAAATTGAGTTTTTAGAATGACCACTTTTGGCTGCCACCCTTCCCACATTATAACTGCTTTCTTAAACACTTCTCATTGATTTTCATGTTTGTATTAAAAACAAAAAATGTTGTTTATTACAGTATATATGTTTTTACTCTGTTGTACAGGACCCTGAGCACTGCATAAATAAACTTCTTATGAAAAGAGAGTTTTACAAACTTAGTTTGTCAGTCTTGTTCATCATTCGTGCATATACATTATTATGTGGAAAATAGGGTGTTTCTAAAAATAAAAGAGGAACAGGAACCAAGAGTAGGCTCTTTTGTCTTTTAAAGTGTGTTGACTTTTTGTTACAAATTCTGAAATGGAGAGCTCTTCTCTATATTCTTCGCAGAACCTGTAATGGGCTTCTGTGACACACTAGGAGAACACTTTAGCAAGTTGATGCACTGGACCATTTAAGACTGTTAGAGCTGATCCGAGGAGTTGCTTATGCAATTTTGATGAATTTTGATGTTTCTGAAAGTACTTTCAAGGGTTTTTACTGGATGAGGCATTTTCTTAGGATTTTTTTTTAGAAGGTATAATTTCATACAAGTTCCTTTACTACCTGGTGGTGTCTGAACTTTTAAAAAAATATTTCCCATCTGACCATCTAGGCCTGATTTGTTCTAGCTGGGGGGAAATACACATTTTGTTACAATTACAGGGAAATCTTGACGAAGAGCTTAAGGAATGATTCCTTTTAAAGAGATAAACAAGAGACAGAAGTCTCTGAGTGGTTCATTTACCAGAAGTTGTCCTCTTTGGTCTTCTCACTTTGCTCTCTCGTAGATGGTAATCTGAGGTGAAGTAATAGTTGTTGAAGGTTCAAGAAGTACTTCTGTCTGCATGTTTCACGAGAGTCAGATTCGAATGTGAAATGTGCTATTAAAAAGAGGAAGTAATGATCACTTATGTATCAATCTGTTCAAAGGGATTCACTACAATTAATCCTAGGACTCTATAATAAATTGGAAAGCACTTGCAAAGAATAGGTACATTAAATAAATGCAAGATTTGAGTGCTGCTTTGTGTAAGACATGCATCAGAAACCATATTAAGACTATGTTACACACTGAGTGAACTAATCTCATATACTTATCAATGGAACTTAAGTGCTAATATTAACTTTTTAAGTTACGAGGACTTTTTGTCATGTAAAAAGTACATTGGAGGTTCAAAAAGCAAGTCAAGAAGCCTCCACTCTTTTTCAAGCATTTGTTTTCCCAGTCTTTGCAGTGGGCAGCTCTGCTAGAAACTCTGGGAAAAGTGATGATCTGTAATGGCTGAGGAGATGTAAAACACACACTTCAGAGCCTTCTGACAGAAAAACTAAGAGCAATTTTGTGTTAGAAATTAAAAGCAAATATTACCTGAGGAAATCTGGAGCTCGTATTATCATATGCTGAAAGTCTTCCAAAGACAGTTTGCCGTCATTGTCCGCATCAGCTTCATAAATCACCTTTTCACATACAAGGCTAACTTCTTCTGGGGTAAGTTCATTTCGGGTTAACTTGTTAACAGTTTTCTCTAGATCTGATTTGCATATGTAATCATCATTGTTAAAATCTGTCAAAAGAAACAAAATGCATTCAAAGTGACAAAAGTCAGCATTTTACATGGTTGACTGCCAAGACCTAAAAGGAAGGGTTTGGTTCCTGGACCATAAGGTATTTGTATAAGTAGAACTTTCAAATCGGAAATTAAGTCTTGCAGTTACCCATATTTGCTTGTATAAAATTTCAATAACAAAACAAAAATCCTGGAATCATTTCTTCTTATCTTACATAAGGGTAACAATTGTAAATAGTTTAATGGCTAAACATAGTCTAGCTATAACTTAAATCATTCTAGCAAATCAGTACTACTGAACTACATGCAAGAAATAGCATGAACCTAAAGGAAGAGAAGGGGCTCTTCAGTTTTGCTGAGAGTCCACTTTTTTTAACATCTTTGCTGAATCATGTAAAGTTTAAATCACAAAAAAGTTGGCTGGTTTGTTTGATATATTGTTTGGTTTTAGCTGATCATGAACAAAGTAACTGAAAATGGTACTGTAAAACTAAATCTTTGTATTTTTCCTTGGAGAAAAATGCTAGAAGTGTGCTTCCCTGCCTCCCACCTCCCCCTACCAAAACCACCCTACAGATTTATGGGCAGCCAAATCCCTTGTGCTGCGCTTTTCCAAGCGGCCCCTCGGACAGAAGTATTTCTTGAATGTTTATCAGCTCTTGAAAACTGCAGATAATTTCAGGTTGTAAATTTTGTAGTAAATCCTAATCCTAAATAACTAAGAGAAGAGTAGAGACGAAAGGATAAAGAAGACCAGAAGTTTCTAGGAGAGAGAACAGGCATTCAAATGCATTGAAAAGAAAGGCTGTATTAAAACCATACCTAACTAGAAATCATTATGGTGATGAAGCTGCATGAAGCTGCAGGATTTCCCCGAAGTTTACTTTTTATGCGTGTCTCACTCACCGTAAATTTTAAAAGCATAATAAGCTTTCAGGTCTCTGGGAGCCATTTCACTCAGCACTGAAAACATGTCCAAAAAATCGTCTAAAGTCATATTGCCGTCTCCGTCCTCTGAGAAAACTTCTGCTATCCGCTGGCGGAAAGGATTGTCCTGGGAAACAGAACGCAGGAACAAGGGAAGGTCATCTTTACTAACATTTATTTCAGTGCAGATAACACATAATTGGAGTGAGATTACTTCTCTTGTAACCCCTTTTTGGCAAATACTCCCCTTTCTGCTATTATGTTCTTGTCTAATGTTGTATCAGAAGTAGACATAACTGCGGCATTCTTTAACCTTTGTGCAATTTCAGTGTGTTTTCAGGGAATCACTAGAAGGTTCCAGAAATACTTTTAACTTCAATAGCCAAAATTTAATTGTATTTCAGCCTCCAAACAATTAGTATTAGATGAATTATTAAAAAAGAGTAGATTAAACTGAAATGTGTCACTTGATTCTAGTTGTGTTCCTTGCTCTGTACCTTCAGCTCTGGCATGCTGCCAATGAGTTCATAGGGAAGTGTCACGTCTGGTTTATCTGTGTAGTCGAGTGGAACTAGCTGTGGGGCTAGGTCCCGGTATCTGTAAAACAGCCTGAAATAGAAGGAAAGGCTTGTTTAGGGAACACTGAGAACAACGTGTTTGCCTTTTCCATATCATTCTTCACACTTTGCATCCTTTACCAGACAGATGATATCAGTCGCTAAATAACATTTAGTATCCTCTGTAGTTGTTGGTGAGAGAGACAGTATTAAAAAGAACGGCATAGTGTAACTGGTGAAAAATACAAAGCCTTCATGCTTACAGAACAATTAGGTGAAAATGCTCACACAAGTCAGGCAGCCAAACCACCAGATACTGTGTAGCTGAAAAGAGATTTTTACAAAGTTTCAGATTTGCTTCTACATTTCCAGCAATGGTATTCAGGCACATCTTGTAGTTATGATTTATGTGCTTGTGATAACAAGGCACAAGACCTTCAACCTGAAGGTCCACCTGATCAGTTTCCAAACATGCAAAATCTTGTTGCAAGGCATAAGGGATCTGTTTTCCATGTCCACAATGAACGTGACCAAAAATAATGGGCTTCAGCTGGAGCATAAAAGATTCATTTTAAACGTCAGAATAAAATCCTGAATGCCTAAAGCCATGGGCAGGAAGAGAGAGATCAGGGACCAACTCTACCAGGTTTTTATCCACCACAAGTATCTTCCTGTTTTTCCATAGAACTCGGGTTCAAGAGACAGAAAATGTGCATAATAGTGTGAATGTATTCACTACTTTTTCAGCATGCTATGTGCTACAGTAAGGATCCCATTCACGGCTGTTATCAACAAAACAATAGGACAGAATTTTAAAAGGGATCCTTATCAATAATAAATGTCTTATTCATGATACAGTTATGGTTCTGGCCTCTATTTACTAGATGGAAAGGCAGACAGATTTAGATTTCAATTATTATTATAGAACCATTAATATTTTATCCCAGATAGAATTCATACGCAGATACCAAGGTTCTAAAGCAGGACATGTTCTGTACAAAATTGTCACTTGTGCTCTGCCCTTCGGAGAAATTAGCAAAAAAATGTGTGATTACATCTTTGAGAGGTGCAGAAACTGAACACTTCCCTCTCTGTTAGCATGGCCAATGGGTAGGAAAGGCAAATGCAACTTCAATATTATGTACGTTACTATCTAGGTAAGTATTTTTTACGAGAAGAGAACAAGTTGAGGTTTTCAGTGAAGGCGCTCAGCCCCCCATGAACAGAATACTGACCCTGTCTTTATTGGACCCTTTGGCCAGAGATTAAATGGAGTGTTTGATGAGGTGCATGAAGGCTTTGGGAAAAATTCACCTTAGAGTATCAGGATAAATATTTACATGAAGATGTGAAAAAAACATGAAAAAAAATTGACACAACCATTAAGATTTTCATAAACCAGGCAAAGTATCCCAAAGAATACCAGTATACTTCGAAGCATTTGTCATAAAACAAGGTAAGGGGAACATAGATGTCACTGGCAAAGTAAGTACTTGTTGCATTTATTTCTGATAGAGAAACTGCTACGTTAACATAAAATTTAGAATTCTGGCTTAGTTTAGGACAGATAACATAGGGTTTGTACGTTAAAAAAGCAACAAAAATGCTCAGATTGCCCAAAGATATTGCTTTAAATTTGTGTAAATCCATTTAAAAATTATCTTTAAAATACCTCACCCTATATGTAACCTGTCTTTATAGCAATCTGTCCTTTACCCACAAAATGCAAAAACAAGACTCACCTCAGAATTTCTTTCCTTGTAAAGAATGTACAGTCCTGTTAAATAAGAAAAGGTATAACATGTAATGACAGTTTTAGCATGCATTGGCCCAAATTGCTCCCATACAGTGACTTAAATGAAGTTATATTGTAATGTATGTGGCCAATTATTAAAGCTCTCTCTTTTTGACATATAATGAGGAGTATTTTATAATCAGACGTAAGAATCAAACTATGGTACTAAAATCTTTGCTGTAATTTAGTACTCCTACTTAATAATTAAAAAAAAAGATTGTTTTAAAAAAACCTTCACCATTATTCAATGTCCTGTTCAAACAGCCATTTAGTTTGTTTTATACCTGATATGCATCCAGTTGCTCTGGAGTGAAAATGGTTTGCTTGTTGCCCATTTCTAGCTCTGAATGCTGATTCTTGTCCTATCATTCTTTCCTTAAAGGCACCTTTCTAGGAGGTCTGGATATTTAGTTATTAAAAGCTGCAACAATGAGGTTCAGGTACAGCAGAGGATCAAGTAACCAGCTTCCCTATCCCACACGTTGCAAAGTATCATAATAGGAGCATTTCATCAAATCTTTAGTCTGGCTACTCGAGGCTCTTATCCAGCATCACTCACCTGTCTCCTGTGTGCACAACAAAGACTCATGTTACAGTATTTAGCCAAACAACTAATTGCTGCTTGTTTGTGTCTTTGAGGGAGCGGGTAGACTTCATGGATCGTATTTTTTCATTCCTTCAGATATGGTAAATTAACTGAAAACTGTTAGTAATGTCTGTCACCTTTAAGACTTAACACCAAATGCTAGAAATTAGAAACAGTGATGGCAACCCCTCATCCTTTCCTCCTCACTTTTCCCTATAATACACATTGTACACTAATGCTAGTGTAGTTTGTGCTGGAGGTAGTATGTGTAAAGTTTGCACGCTCCCTTTTATTCTGCATTATCTGCTAATACACATTACCACTAGTTAACAATTATTAGCATGATATGATTTATATAGCGATACATATAACACTCAAAATGCATGTGAGTATATAGTTCATACATGTGAACAAAAATGTGATGTTGCAGGCTGTATGAAATACAGAAAACAAGGGTAGGAGGAGAAATAGACAGCGTATGTCAGGCTGCCTTATTTATTGATCAGGGGCAGGCTGTAAAACAGAATCACAGAATGGTGGTGGTGACAGGGCCCTCTGGAGATCCTCTCCTCCACCCCCCGCCAGAGCAGGGGCACCTCCAGCAGTGGCACAGGACGGCGTCCAGGCGGGTTTGGGATGGCTCCAGAGGGGGAGAATCCCCCACCTCTCTGGGCAGCCTCTGCCACTGCTCTGCCGCCCTCACAGCAAAGAAGTTTCTCCTCATGTTGAGGTGGAATTTCCGATGTTCTAGTTTGTGCCTGTTGCCCCTTGACCTGTCACTGGGCACCACTGAAAAGAGTCCGGCCCTGTCCTCTTGCCACCCGCCCTGTAGATACTGGTAAGCATTGATGAGATCCCCTCCCCAGGCTAAACAGACCCGGGTTTCTCAGCCTTTCCTCATAAGAGAGGTGCTCCATTCCCTTGATCATCTTACTTTCCTGGTCATTCCTACCATCCGGCTGGGCGGGCCCCTCTGGTGGAAAATCTATTCCCCTCAGCGAAGAAACGCCGGCCTCGCTCAAGGGTGTGCCTTCAAGTAACCAAAAATTATTCAGAATTTTTCAGCTCGGCGTGGAACAAGGTGTGTGGGGACGGCTGGGGCTGTTTTTTTGTTGTTTTTTGGTTTTATTCTGGCGCAGCCCAGCTTTCTGCACTTCCCTCCGAGGGCGGCTGCGGCCTGTGGCGGTTTCCCCTCACAGAGGGGGCGGACACACCGTTGCCGTGGCAACGGCGCCGCGCACTACGCCGTCCGTCCGTC